TTTTATTTGACTCGGACACAAGTCGTAATGTCTTGCAGTGTGTGTGTGTGTGTGGCCTTTATTTAAATATTATTTTTATTTTGATCTTAATTTAATATGCAAATGGTAAATGTTTGCACAAATTGAATTTGCAGTAGCTCACAAAACTTGTCTCTACAATTTGCTGTCAACTCGGGCAAAGGTCCTGCAATTGAGCAGAAAATCAAATCTCTGGCATTTCCGGACGCCAGCACTAAAACGCTTAATTGCCAAAACACTTAAGGCAAAAATATGTTAAAGCTGCGTCCTGTTTACTAATTGCAACTGCACAACACATCAGATGCAAGTATTTAACCCACTTACGACAGGTGTTCGAGTTGGGCAAAGTTTAGAGCTGCGCGTGCTGCGTATTTTTAAGGCAAACAAGCACGTAGTCTTAGAGACAAGTCGTGTCGTGCGCGGGAAACACGACTCGACACGACTCAACAAAATTGAACAAGACTCGAAAAAAAAGAATGTAGTTTAATACAATGGGAAGGGTATTTATCTTCTATTCGAATGAAGCCACACATTTTTAGATTTCTGATATATGTTTGAATAATACACTTTTAGAGCATTCCATTCTCGTGGGCGGAAAATACGTGAAAATCGTGTCAATTCAACATTTTAGTTTTTTTATGCTTTCAACTGTTCACAAAAATTTGTAAATATTCTTTACTGAAGAAGCCTCCTAGAAAAGAGAGGCTGTTTGTCAGACCAAAAGTTTTAGCTCAAATCTACGCTTTTCACCGTTTTCGTCAAACTCACTTAATCGGTCGGAAGCTGGATGGAAATCTCTGCTGATCGCAATTTTCTTTTCTATGTGTGCGACTTTAATGTTACAACATTTTGCAAATTTAAAAACTTGTCTAAAATTTAGAAAACTTGCCAATTTAAGATAATTTGTGTAAATTTGGAAAACATTTTTGCTTGAGTGTAGAGTCCAATGTGAAAAAGGCCTGCGTGTGCTACAAAGTTGTTGGCCAAGTTTTCAACTTTGAGAAGCGTAAAAGAAAGGCAGGGAAAATCAAAAACGGACTCTTAGCTTTGGGCAAAATTGTTGGCTTTCTGGTGTTAAGGTACATCAAACACATTTTGAGCTGAAAGGCCAACAATCTGGCAAATGACGCGCGATTCGCGGTTCTCTCGCGGGCCATGAAATATGCAAAAGACTTTAAAAATGCCGCACAACGAAATTGAGGTAAGTGTGCCGAGCAAGCCGTCAATATTCCGGACGGACAAGGGCCCGGACTCGAGCTGGACTCCAGCTGGACGCTGGCCCGCCCACTCACCTTAATTGAAATGTCTGTATGATGTCGCCGTCCATTTGGATGAACGTGTTGTTTTTGGCAAACACGAAGGTCTTGTCCTGGCCCGTTTCCGCAAACGTCAACTCCGGGCCGCGCTGCTCGATGGGCACGGGTGTTGTGCCGCCCCCATGCCCGCCATAGCCGACCGGCGTCTGGGCGGGACTCTGCGTGTAGCTGGCCAGCGAGGATTCTGTGGTGCTCGGCTCTCGCGTGGTTGACAGCAGGAAAGGCGGCAAGGTGTCTGCGCCAGCACAAAACATTTGAGTGACAGCAAGAGGGTTCAGGGGGGATTAGGTAATTTGCTTACGTGGTCCGCCAATGCAGTGGAACAGGCACTCGGCCTCGGTGCTGAAACGGTTCTGGGGATTTCCATCGCAGCCGCCCCAAATGAATGTGGTGCATTCGCTGGTCGTCGGCTCGTAGCGCCATTTGTATATGTATTGCTTGCACGGACCGGGATCACCCGGTCCGGTGCACTTCTCGTACAGCTTCTCCTTGGGCGCCTGCATTAGCGCCGAATTGTTGCCGCTGCCGACGCCGCTGCTGCTGCCCGCATTGGCGCCCAATGAGCCGCCGCCGCCGCTGTTGCCGCTCGGTTCGCTGTTGGACTGGGCGCCGGCACCAGCACCACCTGGCTGGCTGGCACCACCTGGCAGGCTGCTGCTGCCGCTGCCATTGCCAGCGGCGCCTAGGCCAGCGCCGAGCGCCGGTAAATTGACAATACCTGCGACATTGCCATCAGCCAAGCCGCCAACCAAGGTGCCATTCACAGACAGGCTCAGATTCGACACGGGCCTTAGTTTGGCTAGGAGGAGCAGCAGCAGAAGAGGCAGCAAATTTGGCATATGCAGTTTCATGTCGCTGTTGCGTGTGTTGCTGTTGACTGCAAGAAAATGGCAAAACTTTTAGACTGTGTTATGGATAAATGTTTTCTTTGAAAAGTGAAAAACTTAAGCTAGGAAATGGAATGGCCTCAAATGAGGAAACATTATTTATATGAAGTCTAGCCATTGTGCTGAAGGATACATATTTAATTCCATAAAGTAAACATATATTTTTTCATAAAAGAGTTTTGAAGAAGACATGTTTAATCCCATAAAATAAATATGTATTCATGTCTAAAAAAGTTTGCATAAGAACTACAATGAAAACTGAAATTCTTACCGCAGCTTGCTCTTGGGTGATTTGAAGAACTTGAAACTGACATTAGCATATATATTCTTCTTTAAATAGCTTAATCTTTTGAATATGGGACTACTATATCATTTAGTTCTATAGGAAATTCGGTTGAAAAATAAGTTTTTATCTTAAGAACTTATAAATGACATTGACATATTCGTTCCCAAAATAAGTTCTTTTTTGAAAATCCTTTCATTGAAAATCCTACTACTATATCCGATAGTTCTACAGAAAAGATCTCTTGAAAAATTAGCTGATGTAGTCATAATTGTTCTCTTTTGAAGAGCTAAGCATTATGAATATGGGACCTATATATCACCTAGTTCTAGAATAACATCTAGTTAAAGAATAAGTGCTTATTTGAAAAGTTTGTTTCTTTTCGGCATTTATTAGTTAAATTATGGTATATGAGGAACTACTATATCACAGGATGAATCGAGCGACAAATAAGATTTTGTGTCGATTGTGTTTTCTGTTTTTCAAGAATTCTTGACAAAATTTGCCAGCTGCACATTTCTCCCAATATATATCACCAATACCGTATCAAGCCGGCTAGCCTATCTGTCAGACATTAAGCCTTTATATAAATTCACATTTGCCTAAGCCATTCCGGCTTTCTTCAAGTTTTTGTCACGATCATTTGACTGCCAGACATAATTAATACACCTGCTTTCTTTTGTCGTACCTTGTGCGTTTCATTAGCCCCATTAAGTATGCTACATAAAAAATGCTGTCGCTGTCTGTGCCACGCCCCCGCCCCAGCCCCCGCCCTCTCTTCTCGTTTCATGTGCTCATTAGATTTGTGGTAATTGTACTATAAATTCACTGGGGCAATTTACGGGCTCGTCACAGCAGCCGCACAAAGAAGCTATCACAGCTTATGATTTCAGCTACTTGTTACCAGCAATGTCTTGGCCTGGGCGTGTGTGTATTAGAGTGTGTGTGTGTGCTGAGCAGTTTACTATTGTCATGGCGCACTATAAATCCCATTTACATCATCATGCTCATCATCATCAGTCAATGTCTGGCTGGGAAAATGAAGCGACGTTGCATTTCTTGCTGGCATTTAACGAAAACGAACTTTTGTGCTTACACTTCCGCCGGAAATGTGACAAGACACACACACACACAGGCAGAGAGAAAGACACACACACACATACACACATCAGTTGCTGTGAAGATGCGTGAGTTTAAGCCGTAGCTTGAGCTGATTTACAAGTAGCTTATCGTCGTGGAAAAAACTGTCAAAAATCTAAAAATAATGATGCGCCTCGACTTTGAACTAAATGCTGCCAAAATGGGGCGTGGGCGTGAGTGTGTGGGCGGGGCTGCTAAACGTCAAAGGGAAATGGTGTAAAAAAGGGAAATTAAGTTTCTTTCTGCCACCCAAAAACTTTGTGAGTTTTGCATAACGATCAAAATGGACGTGGATGTTAGCTTTGGCCTGCCAATGTTCCTTCAACCTAACCCCAAGCGCTTTGTTCCCGACTAGAGATGGGCATGGAGCGTGTTTTGATGCGCGACACGATGTGTCCGTCTAGAGTCAGGCTGTAGTGAAAACAAATATTAAATCTAGTTGATAGTTCGCAGGTTTCAGCCAAACCCTTTAAGGATGACTTTAACGAGTTTTCACAAACCCGTCAAAAAATATGTTATAAGAAAGTTGCAGTAGGACAGATATTGAGAAAATTATTATGCAATAAAAACAGCTTTATATGTATATATTCTCAAACTTGTTGAGCTGAGCTTTGTTATATGTTGCCCGTGCATAAGTTTGTCGCGTGCTCGTAAAGGCCAGCTCTACGACAAACCCTTTGCCTCCATTTCCTTTTCATAAGCAATTTTTAATTGCGGCTTTAGCTGCCCGGTCAAAAAAAAACACAGCCACGTCGAGCAGCATGAAAAATGAGCAGGGCCAAAGTTCATGCAAATTAATAAACCTCAGAGTGGAAGAACGAAAGAGAGAAAGGGAGAGAGAGGGCGTTGCTCGTCAAGTGTGCGTGGTCATGTCAAGGATGCGTCGTTGGCCAAGTTATTGATGCCAGCCAGTCGCAGGCTTACCCCACAAATTTCCAATGCATGCTTGCGAAAAAGTTGGGCTGATGATTTGGGTCGACCAAGCGGAAAAAGTTTGCCTAGCTTTTGGTTTCCCGTCCGTGCTCAAAGGGCAGGCCTGTCATGCATATGCGGCATTTGCCTAAAGTGCACAAACGCCACAACACGTAGCCGTTACGCGAAAGATAACAGCCGCTACCTGTGTGAGGGCTCCCTGCTGACCAGACGATAAGCGAACTGCAGCGGCAGGTGCAGCAGGTAAAGGCACCCCAAAGAATTGGACATGAAATATCACGGGCGCGCTTTTGGGGCAGTCAGGTAAAGGGTTCGTCCCACAGGCACCTGCACGGGGCATAGTATTAGCAGCAGGTCAAATATGCTAGCATATATAAGGGGCACGTCGCGAGGGAATCCTCACACATTCACCACACGATCGTCATGGAAGCAACAACTGCAAAGACCGCCTACGCTCTGTTCCTGCACCGCGCCGAGCTGCATCGTCGCCGCACACACTATGCCAAAGTGTCCCAGACGAAGATACAACTTACTAATCAGTTGATTGCCAAGGTGAAGCAGCGCATGGACACCTGCAGCTACGAGGATCTGCAGACCTTGGTGCGAGAGCAGCAGTTCAAGCGTTTGCTCGAGAAGAAGCTCCAGCATCGCGCCAAGCAGCTCAAGGCCCTGGTCAAGCAGAACCGCAAGCTGAAGCGACTCCAGTAGAAAAGTGCACAGGAAACAGACTGGACAGCAATGAATCATAGAATCATTGCAATCATTACTTAGTTCAACTAATGACACATTTATTGCCTTTTTAAAGGCAGAGAAATTCAATTTCTTATGATAATATCGACAAAGTTAGCTCATGTTAGCTATCTTACGATCTTTGCCATGCAAAGAAAATCATTAATCATAATTATTTATAACTATTTTAAGTAGTATTTTCACTGTCTAATAAATTTCTACGATTTATCAATTTTAAAAAAGTATGCTTTCTTATGGAAAGATATAGCTCAGAGCTCGAACCCAAAGCAATTTGAAGCTTCAGTTTAGTTAATAAAAGCCAACCTCGCAAAAACAGATGAGATTTGACCAAGTTATGAGGGTCCAAAATTTGGACCCATATCTATATACGAATCTTGGGGTAAGATTTGGGCATGAATTTCGACCAAAAAATCGGTGTTCAGATTTGAATGTCAGATTAATCTAGAGGGAAAACCATGAACAAAAAGCCAAGCTTCGTGAAAATCGGATGAGATTTGGCCGAGTTATGGAGGTGAGGAGTTTTGACCCATGTCTGTATACGAATCTTGGGGTAAGATTTGGGCATGAATTTCGACCAAAAAATCGGTGTTCAGATTTGAATGCCAGATTAATCTAAAGGGAAAACCATGAACAAAAAGCCAAACTTCGTGAAAATCGGATGAGATTTGGCCGAGTTAGTGAGGTGAGGAGTTTTGACCCATGTCTGTATACGAATCTTGGGGTAAGATTTGGGCATGAATTTCGACCAAAAAATCGGTGTTCAGATTTGAATGCCAGATTAATCTAGAGGGAAAACCATGAACAAAAAGCCAAACTTCGTGAAAATCGGATGAGATTTGGCCGAGTTATGGAGGTGAGAAATTTTGATTCATGTCTGTATACGAATCTTGGGGTAAGATTTGGGCATGAATTTCGACCAAAAAATCGGTGTTCAGATTTGAATGCCAGATTAATCTAGAGGGAAAACCATGAACAAAAAGCCAAGCTTCGTGAAAATCGGATGAGATTTGGACGAGTTATGGAGGTGAGGAGTTTTGACCCATTTCTGTATACGAATCTTGGGGTAAGATTTGGGCATGAATTTCGACCAAAAAATCGGTGTTCAGATTTGAATGCCAGATTAATCTAGAGGGAAAACCATGAACAAAAAGCCAAACTTCGTGAAAATCGGATGAGATTTGGCCGAGTTATGGAGGTGAGGAGTTTTGACCCATGTCTGTATACGAATCTTGGGGTAAGATTTGGGCATGAATTTCGACCAAAAAAACGGTGTTCAGATTTGAATGCCAGATTAATCTAGAGGGAAAACCATGAACAAAAAGCCAGACTTCGTGAAAATCGGATGAGATTTGGCCGAGTTATGGAGGTGAGGAGTTTTGACCCATGTCTGTATACGAATCTTGGGGTAAGATTTGGGCATGAATTTCGACCAAAAAATCGGTGTTCAGATTTGAATGCCAGATTAATCTAGAGGGAAAACCATGAACAAAAAGCCAAACTTCGAGAAAATCGGATGAGATTTGGCCGAGTTATGGAGGTGGGAAGTTTTGATTCATGTCTGTATACGAATCTTGGGGTAAGATTTGGGCATGAAGTTCGACCAAAAAATCGGTGTTCAGATTTGAATGCCAGATTAATCTAGAGGGAAAACCATGAACAAAAACCCAAACTTCGAGAAAATCGGATGAGATTTGGCCGAGTTATGGAGGTGGGAAGCTTTGATTCATGTCTGTATACGAATCTTAAGGTAAGATTTGGCCATGAATTTCGACCAAAAAATCGGTGTTCAGATTTGAATGCCAGATTAATCTTGATGGAAAACCATGAACAAAAAGCCGAACTTCGTGAAAATCGGATGAGATTTGGCCGAGTTATGGAGGTGAGGAGTTTTGACCCATGTCTGTATACGAATCTTGGGGTAAGATTTGGGCATGAATTTCGACCAAAAAATCGGTGTTCAGATTTGAATGCCAGATTAATCTAGAGGGAAAACCATAAACAAAAAGCCAAACTTCGTGAAAATCGGATGAGATTTGGCCGAGTTATGGAGGTGAGAAATTTTGATTCATGTCTGTATACGAATCTTGGGGTAAGATTTGGGCATGAATTTCGACCAAAAAATCGGTGTTCAGATTTGAATGCCAGATTAATCTAGAGGGAAAACCATGAACAAAAACCCAAACTTCGAGAAAATCGGATGAGATTTGGCCGAGTTATGGAGGTGGGAAGTTTTGATTCATGTCTGTATACGAATCTTGGGGTAAGATTTGGGCATGAATTTCGACCAAAAAATCGGTGTTCAGATTTGAATGCCAGATTAATCTAGAGGGAAAACCATGAACAAAAAGCCAAACTTCGTGAAAATCGGTTGAGATTTGGCCGAGTTATGGAGGTGAGGAGTTTTGACCCATTTCTGTATACGAATCTTGGGGTAAGATTTGGGCATGAATTTCGACCAAAAAATCGGTGTTCAGATTTGAATGCCAGATTAATCTAGAGGGAAAACCATGAACAAAAAGCCAAACTTCGTGAAAATCGGATGAGATTTGGCCGAGTTATGGAGGTGGGAAGTTTTGATTCATGTCTGTATACGAATCTTAAGGTAAGATTTGGGCATGAATTTCGACCAAAAAATCGGTGTTCAGATTTGAATGCCAGATTAATCTAGGGGAAAACCATGAACAAAATGCCAAACTTCGTGAAAATCGGATGAGATTTGGCCGAGTTATGGAGGTGAGAAATTTTGATTCATGTCTGTATACGAATCTTGGGGTAAGATTTGGGCATGAATTTCGACCAAAAAATCGGTGTTCAGATTTGAATGCCAGATTAATCTAGAGGGAAAACCATGAACAAAAAGCCAAACTTCGTGAAAATCGGATGAGACTTGGCCGAGTTATGGATGAGAGAAGTTTTGATTCATGTCTGTATACGAATCTTGGGGTAAGATTTGGGCATGAATTTCGACCAAAAAATCGGTGTTCAGATTTGAATGCCAGATTAATCTAGAGGGAAAACCATGAACAAAAAGCCAAACTTCGAGAAAATCGGATGAGATTTGGCCGAGTTATGGAGGTGGGAAATTTTGACCCATGTCTATATACGAATCTTGGGGTAAGATTTGGGCATGAATTTCGACCAAAAAATCGGTGTTCAGATTTGAATGCCAGATTCATCTAGAGGGAAAACCATGAACAAAAAGCCAAACTTCGTGAAAATCGGATGAGATTTGGCCGAGTTATGGAGGTGGGAAATTTGGACCCCATGTCTATATGCTAATCGTAAAGGTTAGATTTGGACATGAAATATCACCAAGTGGGAGTATTATAAAGATCGGACAATGAATGCCGGGTAGAGGAAATACGACTGCAAACAGCATGTTCCCTTTAGGTTATGCTGCAATTATAATCTCTATCAATCTTAATTATATTATGTTCTTAAAATATATTTCAGTTATAGATTTATTTAAAAAAAATAGATAGACTAGCGGATATAGCCCGGCCTTGCCCGTGGCACGTATAAATAAATGTTCTCAAAAACCTTTGAAAATTATCCTATTTTTCCCTGTTATAAGAAACTATACTTTTTAAATTTTTAAAATCGTAGAAATTTATTAGACAGTGAAAATAATACTTAAAATAGTTATAAATAATTATGATTAATGACTTTCTTTGCATGGCAAAGATCGTAAGATAGCTAACATGAGCTAACTTTGTCGATATTATCATAAGAAATTGAATTTCTCTGCCTTTAAAAAGGCAATAAATGTGTCATTAGTTGAACTAAGTAATGATTGCAATGATTCTATGATTCATTGCTGTCCAGTCTGTTTCCTGTGCACTTTTCTACTGGAGTCGCTTCAGCTTGCGGTTCTGCTTGACCAGGGCCTTGAGCTGCTTGGCGCGATGCTGGAGCTTCTTCTCGAGCAAACGCTTGAACTGCTGCTCTCGCACCAAGGTCTGCAGATCCTCGTAGCTGCAGGTGTCCATGCGCTGCTTCACCTTGGCAATCAACTGATTAGTAAGTTGTATCTTCGTCTGGGACACCTTGGCATAGTGTGTGCGGCGACGATGCAGCTCGGCGCGGTGCAGGAACAGAGCGTAGGCGGTCTTTGCAGTTGTTGCTTCCATGACGATCGTGTGGTGAATGTGTGAGGATTCCCTCGCGACGTGCCCCTTATATATGCTAGCACATTTGACCTGCTGCTAATACTATGCCCCGTGCAGGTGCCTGTGGGACGAACCCTTTACCTGACTGCCCCAAAAGCGCGCCCGTGATATTTCATGTCCAATTCTTTGGGGTGCCTCTACCTGCTGTACCTGCCGCTGCAGTTCGCTTATCGTCTGGCCATAAGAGTTCCCTCGCACCGGGAGCCCTAAAGACGCATGACTAGGCTTTTGGTTTGCTACCTTTCCATCCTTATATTTCAAAAGTAGTTATAGCTGCGGACTGTTAAAAAGGCCGTGCAAATCTAGAGTCTGATGAATGAACCGTGAGTTTCTTGAAATTGCAATGCAGACAACTAGCTCAGTCCTGGGATTCAAACCAGCACCACTTTTGACCACTTTTACAGTGTCAAGTATTGACGCTATATCATATAGCTATATACGATATTAGTGTATATCCCAGCCCGGATGAGATTTGACCGAGTTATGGGAATGGGAAATTAATTTAGATTATTTGCCGAAATATGCGAAATACGCCTCAAATGTTTTTTTTTTTTATAAATTCTTGGAAATGAATTTGAGCGCGAAATGTCCCCCACCAAATCTGTGACCCCCATTTCCACCAAGATAGAACTAAGGTAACAACTGTTGATGTTGATCACTAATCAGTCAGTCATTCATTCAGTCAGTCATTTATTCAGTCAGTCAATAAGTCTGTCAGTCAGTCATGACAAACAGTTTTCTATATAGAGATATATATATTCTAATATTAAACGAAGTTTGTGGTCGCAA